CCGGCAAGAAGAGAGTTGGTGCCAACAGCTCCTCCAGCAAGGTAACCGCGGGGCGGGGCACGGTGGGGGACCGTCCCATCCTGAGCCTGCCCCCTGGGGTGGTGGGTTGTGACCTCTCGCACCTAGACTGCCGGGGCGGCGTGCTGGCTCTTTAACACGGACATCGTTTGTCCCGCGTGCATTCGACGCACTGGAGTGAGATGTGACTGGAGCAGGGGGTTCGTCAGACCGTTTAAAAACAAAACTGCCCCTTCCCCATCCCTTGCAGCTGCTTCCGAGCCGCCTCCACTCAGTAGAGTCCCCCAGGGCCGGTGGGGCCTGAGTTTCTGATGTCTAAACCAAGCAGAATCCCTGCTCCTGCTTTTCTTTGACACACGTCTTCTGGGCAAAGGGAAACTGAGGCCGGGAGTGGCTAAGTGACCTGCCCAAGTTCCCACAGGAAGTCTGGCAGAGGAGAGAATTGAACCTCTCATATTTCTGACTGGTGCCCTGACCATCCTGCCCTCCCTCATAGCTGAGCTCTAACTCCCAACACCTCAAGGGTCCCTGCTCTCTCTCAGGGACCCCAGGAGGGGCTGTCCTGGTGGGCTGCTCCCTAGCTGAGGGAGGGAAGAAGTTGAACCCTGGAATCCAGGCTGTTCACAGGACTGGTGTCTCCTCCCCCAGGTGCAGGAAGCCAATGCCCAGCTGGCCGAGCAGGCCGGCCCCACTGACGTGGAGATGACCCCCGTGCAGCGGCGGATCGAGCCCCGGTCAGCCGACGACTCACTCTCGGGGGTGGTGCGCTGCCTGTACTTCGCCGATACCTTCCTCCGAGACGGTAAGGCCTGGCCGCAGCTCTGAGAGGGAATACGACTGCAGGCAGGGAGGGGATCCTGCGCTGGGCTGGACCTACAGCTCCCCTGGCCGGACCCATGTCTGCACCTGCCCTGAATACAAGCTGCCCAAGAGGCAGGCGTTGTTAACCCCTGATCCCCAGCTGGTACAGCCCGGTACTGAGAAGCAGGGGCAGTTTCTTCCTGACCTCGTCTGGTGCTCACCTGATGCCCTGAGGCATGAGGATTAATATAGTTTCTAGCTATGCTGTCTAGTAGCGCTGCCGAGAGAGTTTCTACTCCATAGAAAGGTCTAATCTTTAAACCCTGTTTACTTCAGTAAAACCATGAGGCAGGGAGTTCCCCAGGCTAGCACTGCCTTGGGCGGTAGACTAGCCAGTGCTAAAGACCCCAAGCTCAGAAAGTGCCGATTGACTTGGGTTGCCTCTGGGGCTCTGGTGTGGGTTGATGCTGTGCTAATACTCAGGGCTGCCTGGGGGGAGGCAGTTGGCCCCAGAGGCCCCCATTTGCGAGGGCCCCCAAACAGAGTGGCCTGGCACAAACCCGAGTGGCGCTGTGACCCCGTACGCCTGATTGCAATGGCCAGAATGGGGATCTGGGCCCAGCCCCGTGGGATAGAAAACGCTGCTGTGGGGTGAGGTGACTCCAATACTTCCTCGCCTTGGGGCCACCCCTCAGTGGTCTGCCTTTTGGGGGGGCCCAGGTCCCCCCCAGAACCTCTGCGCAGCCCTGCTAATGCTGCTGCTTCCCCCCGGCTCCTCAGCCGCACACCACGGGCCCACCATGTGGGCTGGGACCAACTCGGGCTCCGTGTTCGCCTACGCCCTGGAGGTCCCGTCCCAGGAGAAGTTCTCGGAGCGCTCGGTGGAAGCGGTTCTGGGCAAAGAGATCCAGCTGATGCACAGGGCGCCGGTGGTGTCGATCGCGGTCCTGGACGGGCGAGGGAACCCTCTCCCGGAGCCCTACGAGGTGTCCCGGGACCTGGCCAAAGCCCCTGACATGCAGGGCAGCCATTCTGTGCTCATCGCCTCGGAGGAGCAGTTCAAGGTAAGAGAGGGGAGGGGCCGATGGCTGTGTCTCTTGCTGCCTTTTGCCGCCGTTACCCTGACGGCGTAGGTGGCGGGAGACGCTGCCTCATGCCGGCGGGGACGTTCCCATTCCCGAGGGATGGGGTGTCTGGCAGGGGGGCGGACACGGCAAACTCTGGCTTGGGTGGAACCACGTTGTGGCAGGAGCCAGGGTCTCTGCTGTGATTTCTTTAGAGATGAAATGCCCCGGCTTGGGTGCAGGGCATTTCCGCTCTTAAAAAGTGGGTGTCCAGGGCCGGTACCTTTCCACAGACCACACCTCCCTTGGAGCTGGGCCTGGCTCTCGGGAACACGCTCCCTAACCCAGCAGGGCAGCGGCTCCCACCCTGGGAGAATCATCCCTTTAAGCCAGCCGTGGGCTTTCTAGGCTGGTGGCCGTGGGCTAGTGAAGGGCGTGGACATGGCTGCATGAGTCTGCTGCCGCTGCTGGCTAGAGCCCTGCTACAGCAGAAGGCCTTGATCCTTGCCGGTAAGACTCAGCTGGCCGGCAGATGGAGCCTCTATGGAGCTTGTAGCCATGGACAACATGGGTCCCTTGCCCCATAGCAGTGGGGTGGGGATGCAGGACCAGGTCTCCGCTCTCCAGCCGGCTTTCTCCCCGCTTTGACCCAGGTGTTCACGCTGCCAAAAGTCAGTGCCAAGACCAAGTTCAAGCTGACGGCCCACGAGGGCTGCCGGGTGCGGAAGGTGGCGCTGGTGAGCTTCACCAGCCTGGCGTGCGAGGACTACACGGAGAATTGCCTGGCGTGCCTCACCAACCTGGGGGACATCCACATCTTCACGGTGCCCGGCCTGCGGCCGCAAGTGCACTACGACTGCATCCGCAAGGAGGACATCAGCGGCATTGCCTCCTGCGTCTTCACCAAGCACGGGCAAGGTGAGCACACTGCGCCGGTGGGACTGGCGGGGGCCGGGACATGGATTCCTGGCTTGGGCTCCTTCGGCGCCATTCGTTTGGCTCCAGGCTACCATGGTGTGGGAGACGGTGCTGCACGGTGGGTAGAGCTCTGGGCTGGGACCTAGGACCTGCCCTCTCCGTCTGTGCAGTGGGGCCTTGATCTCCTCCCTGCTGAGCTGGGCCACCAAGGGGGCAGCTTTGGGGAGCAGTTCTTGGGGGAGCTGGTGCACTGAGATCCTGCTGGTGCATTGAGATGCCAGGGGAGCGTAAGCCACCCTGGTTAATCTGGCCGAGTGGGTGCCCGCTGTTGAGTCTCTCTGGCCTCCCTCTCCCCAGGCTTCTACCTGATCTCGCCTTCTGAGTTCGAGCGATTCTCCCTAAGCGCCCGGAACATCACAGAGCCGCTGTGCTCGCTGGAGCTCGTCCGGCTTCGCGGTACCGCCTGTCACAGGTAGGCTGGCCGCCCGGGCTGCAGGAACTGTGTCCCTGGTGGGGAATACTGGGGCTGTAGGGCGTGAGCAGCCTCCCAACACTGTTGGGCCGAAGCAAACTGGCTGCTGCCCTGCGTCATGGCCCTGAGTCCCTCTGCCCTGATGGGGCCGGGTAACTGCCCCTAGATCCCAAAGGCCCTGCCCTCTGTCCAATGCGGTGACGCAGAAGCTGGGGGTGACCGTGGGCCCGCTAGCAGTTCGGTCCCCTGCAGCAAAGTGCCCCCTATCCCCCCTTCGCTGCCCTTCCCTCTGCGCAGGCTGGGAGCTGGCGGGAACGGAAATAACTCTCTCTTCTTGCTCGTCAGCCCCAATTTCACCGGGACACCGAAACTGACCCAGGCCAACGGGACTCACGTGCTGCAGGGCTCGGAGGCGAATGGCTCCCCCAGCGACAGCACCCGTAAGGAAACGGCTCTGACTCTCTGAACCGCTCTGCCCTTCCGCCGAGGGGCTCGGTGTGCTGCGGGCGCTGACAGAGCTGGGCTTCACAGCTGCCCAGTGATACAGATGGGAAACCGAGGCACGGGGGGGCTGGGACTCGGCTAAGATCTGTGGGGATCATGGCAGAGGAGGGTCCTTGTGCTTTTTGCTGCAAGGCTGCTGGTCTCCTCCCTCGGCAAAGCCCATGGGAAGACAGTGGACTCTAGCTGCACTGGCAATCCTTGACGTGTGCTGCCTAAGGGGACGGGGGTCTGTCGCGGGCCTGTGGTGGGATGCAGTGCTGCTGGGTGGCGAATCTCTCTCCCTCTCCGGTGCACGCAGCATCTCCAGCCGAAAGGCCCTATGCCAAAGCGGGCCCCTCCGACCGGCTGGCACCTGGGCACCCTGCTGAGAGCCAGCAGGCTGGAGTGCAGCCTGGCAGAGTGACTGTCCTGCGCGGCCCCCCCCAGCGCCCCAGGCGGTTCCCAAAGCACACCCAGTCTTGTGGACCTGGGACCTCTCTGCCCCTGGCCCGAACAGCTGCTGGGACAGTTTGGGTCTCACGGGAAGGCTCGTCCCATGGGTGCGGCAGTCAGGACGCTCCTGGCATAGGAAGAGGCACAGGTGTCATTGGCACAGCTCCGGATGTGCTGTCTTTGAGGGCAGGGGGTGTTGTCCGGGGGAGCCGCCAGCTCCTTGCTCTGCTGGCGCCCGGCCTGCCCTCTAGCAGGACTAGCACCCTGAGGTGTGACCAAGCCCAGTGCTGCCTGTGTTCTCCTCCAGGGACGCCTGAGGAACCCCAGGCTGCCTTCTCCCCGGCACCCACCGACTCGCCGAGCAGCCCGGAGAGCCCCCTGGACACCACCGGGGACATCACCGTGGAGGAAGTGAAAGATTTCCTGGCGTAAGTTCGGGCTCTGGGGAGTCACTGGTGCAACGAGTGAGTGTTCTTGGCTGGGGGGCTCCGCTCTCGGGCCTGGCAGCATCAGCTGCGCCGTTGCTCCCTGGGCATAGTCAGCATGTGGCCTGGGGGATGGTTACAAGACCGAGGAGTTCCCCGTCTCCCAGGCTCCAGGGGCTTTGTTCACCCTCCCCGCACGCAGCCACGCCCGGCCGTGCCTAGGGATCGACGCGCGCACTTGATTACTGCAAACTGCTTGTGACTGAAATCCGGTGAGGTGTCACCTGCGCTCCTCCGGGGGGCGCTGTGCATGCACAGAGCTGCCCACCTGAGGCCAGAGCTCTCTGCAGTGTTAGAGGGGAGAGGTGGTGAAACCCCACTAGCCATACTGC